ATTTTTATGGGTAGTTAACTTTCACAATAACATTTTTTATGTGTACTATAAATCGGTGTTTGAGTATTATTGATTGAACAAAATAAATAATACACAGACCGTTTAATTTAACGCTATGTTATTTTGCTAGCTAGAGAGTTTTCCGATATGCGGGTTTCGACGAATTTTGCTATTGAACATTTATAGTGTTATATTAAATATAGTGTGACAACAAACAATTGACACACAAACAAAGAATTAGGGTTTCTACCAATTGTCTTCTGATTGTAATTTCACTTTACATGTTTTGCATTTGCTCCATTAGGGTTGTTGAATCCAATAAGGTCCATCATCGAATTAATCAAATTGAGAGATTAATATTTGGGTAACGACTGATGTTGGTTAATGTTTTTAAAGGTATGAGTAGGAAGGTTTAATAGCTTTTTTTATGTAATTTTTAAATTAATTTTAAATTTTTCTGATTCTATGTGGTTTATTGTTGAAACCCGAGAAATTGTTGATTGGTTCTTGTTTCAAATAAATACGATTAATTGTTATCTTGTATTTAGAGCTATAGAGATCGAACTACCAGAAAAATATATTTTTGATTTAGAATTTTTTTGGTAAGAAAATAAACATTATTAATAGTGAACCATATACATTTTAAGAATCAATGCATGAGAAGGTTGCATCTCAACAATATCTTCACAACCTTTATGTTTAAAAGCAATTTGATTTTGTCACGGACATTTATCGATATTTTGAATAATTTTAAATTTAATGATAATTCCATGGTTTATCTATACATCATTATTGCACTAAATCAGTCATTTACTATTACTAACCTGTTAAAACCTGCAATACTTCTTTGTCTCGACGTATTGTTGCGAAGCTCTTAATGCGAAAAAAAACCGCAAAATTGCAATGCACAATTTTTTTGCACAAAAACAAAAAATCTACCGGTAAACGATTGCAAGTTTAGCGTCTATCGGAGCATGACTCGGAATTGTATTGGTACCTGATGGTAATGGTATACAAGCGCGACTGAAGGTAACTATACTCGCGCTTTCTTTGGGTACCACATGGTTCCTCAAGGCTGTGGTACCGAAAGGACGACCACCTTTTTGTTTTGATTTTTGTTTGCATGTAGCAAGTTCCATATAAACGGTTTTGTTGATGATTTACCTTTAACATACCAATCTTGATTCGTATTGCGTTTTTTCACGTCAGTTCTGTTAATTACTACAATGATGATGCATATTAATTGTATACTAGATGGTCGAGTTTTTAGTCGACTATGTTTGTTTTATTTAATTCTAATTTTGCCTGTTTGGAGTTTTAAGGAGTGCGCTCTTCAAATCTGTGTGATTAATTTTCGGTTTTTATTTGTTTATATTATTGGCTGGCAGTTTTAACAATTTATTCAGAATCATAATTCGACGACTAATGATGACTAGCCATTTCTATAATGTTTATTAATATACGATTAATGGAAATAAACTTTAAAATATATTCCACTAAATTAGATGATAGGTAGATCAATTGCTAAACGCGTGCATACTTGCGTCATTATTTTATAACTTTTCCTAGACCTTACAGTTTACACGATGGAAATTGTCATGAGCCGGATGGAATCGTCAAAAGCTCATGGTATAAAATATTTGATTTGGGTTTTTTAACTGGAGGTACTACAAAAAGTTTTAATTTGAATTTCAAACTTTCTTATTATTCTAGAGTTTACTAAGTCAACTGGAAAATTGCTTCTTTTATGTTTTTTAGCATGGGAAATACGAAACTCTATGCTGAGTGCTGATTATACATCCTCCCTATGCAGCTCGTTAGTTACGTTTAGATGCTCACACTGTTTGCCTAATGAACAATATCTAAAGTAAATTAAGAATCTAAGTCAGTTCAAATCGTTCTGCATATCAGCTAATTACAATCATCAAACAATGTGAACTATCGTACTTAGAAACACCCCATATTTTATATTTGTATTTATATTGTTAATATGGATTTGTCAACATTTTTTTCATATTTCCGATTAAACGTTTGCTGCTTTGAGTTCGAGATCGTGGAACCTTGTATTGAATATATCCTCTGAATGCCAAGTGAACAATTAGAAGACAACATTGTGTAAAAGCTAACTAAATAAGGCAATTTGAATTCACTTGACGGGATTATGTAATGTGTCTTTGCAAATAAATATTCGATAATTGATTTTATAGCATCTGTTTTTCAAGCTCGAAGGAAAATTCCTATTAGTCAAAACTACTAAAAAATTAGCTTATCCTAGGCGGGTTTTTGGAATATTTAAACAAAAGAATAGGCTTTTTTCAATTAAAAAATACCTTATATTCCCCTAACTTGTATCAAAGAAAATATTTTTGAGGCAAAATAAATGTTATTTGAAGACGTAGCCAACTTTAGGAGATGATTCAATTATTTTTATTTGTGCAAAATAATTCGATAGGTAAGTAAATGCTTTTCGTTCAATTTTAACTGCTGAATGAAGAGAACATGGAGCAAAGAGGTTTATATTTTTGATCTCGAAAAAGAAGGGCGGCAGGAAAAAGTCATGAGACAAAAAAGTTTTATTAGAATTTGCTTAATATGAAAAGAGTGGCACCATTTTTTTGAAGATATTGGTAAATTTTTTTGCTTTTTGCTGTAAACACCCCTGCCAAATTTCAACAATATCTACTAAAAGTTTATGAAATAATTTACGAAAAACCGTCTTTTTTTAATTTGAACACTTTCTCTATTGACTATTCTTCTCTAAAATCATTCAGATAATCACATCCTGGACTCAATAAAAAAAACTTAGACTGTTCTTGTCGTAACTATTTCTTTTTGCTTTTATTTTATAATTTCTATCGTTAGTTATACTTTCTTAGATGCGTAATTTGTCTACTTATGACACTGATAAATTGCGGTTATATACCTGAAGCGTTTTAAGTTTCTTGAAGCGATTAATTAAAAGGAAATGAGTATGCATTGAAATCGAGGTTTATTGTTTTAGAGCCCAACAAATCTTTGAAGAAAGCTTTGTTTTATTACCACTTAATTTTTCCAGATGATTAATGTACAAGCATTAATAGATGCCCACTTTAGTAAATGTATCTATGTTTTTCTACAGTTTGAGCTTCCTACATCTGAAGGAGCTTGAAGCGAAAGAGAGCTAGTGATACATTTAAAAAATACAGAAATTCCTGTTTAAAGTCTGAAGCTTATTATAAAAGTCTGCGTGCAAATTGGATGTCAATGGATTTTTGATGCTCAAATATTTAACTACAAAACAAAGCTTTTTTGTTTCCAAATAAAACAGTCAAAAACTTACTTTTACATTATTTAATAATATTATTAAACTAAAATAACACGAAACAAATAGCAAGGAAATAGTGAAAACATCAAATTTTTTTCGTTGTAAAATCAGTTCTACTTACAACAAAAAACTCTTCGATGGTTTCATCTGCATCTTCAATGATTTTGGCTTATTTCTTTTTGTTGTTTTTTTTAAATTTTTTGTTTCATGCCTCTAAGAATGAAGAAATAGTACTCGTGTTGAATTTTTCTTGGCAAATATTTAGAAGAATTTTATAAAGCGTTTTGCTCAAATGAGCAGCTTTGAAAAATGCAGCTTTTTTCAGATTGAATAAATGAAAAAATTAGGTTTATGTTTGGTTTAAATAAAAAATGTTTAAATAGTGATTCTTCCATAGCGAAATCAAGAGACTGCGCCATTTCACGGGGTTTTTAAGGACTTTCATAACAGAGGGGAAAATTGCAAGCTAACAAAAGGAGTCGCTATCAAATTGACCAGCCGAACGTTTTTGGGCAACCTTCGAATAATATTGGACCAATAATCAGGAATAAAAATGTGTTTTTTTTTGTTTTTCAATAATAGGAAAATGATCGAGTAAAATCTATATGAACTGATAAAAAAAAAATTAATACTGAATATTAATCTTCCTAATTTTTTTACATAAAACAGAAAATCTACCAATTAAATAACACGGTATAAAACTCTACTAAGCCGATTAGTTGCATACGTTTGGAAAATATGATTATTATTTTGAATATAGGTATAAGACTTGTAAACGTCTTATGTCATTATGTTATTTTGCACTTCAGTTATGCGGAAAAAATAGTATATTGTTCCCAAAGTAAACATATGATTTATATGATATGATCGCTTTCTTTAGCTTTATGTTTTATTTTGGAGTTTTGAAATATTATAATGCTTGTAATAAATTGTATCGAGAATCGTGAGGTTTGAGGTCAACGAATTGCGAAAAAACCAACGTTTCGACTATTTAAACCATTATCAGGGATTTTGGAAAAGAGCAGACTACTTTTAGACTTTAGTTTGTTACAATCAGATTTAAGCAATCGTATAAAATGGTTACTATAAGGAAAATAAAAAAAATAAGAACAAGCTACTCATACTACATATTACACATTTGTATGGAACTAAATTGATTTACAAAAAGTGTACAAATTGAAAAATCAAATTAAATAAATTAGACAGCAAAAGAACTATTTTATATAAAACTACTGATTAAGTTATGTTTTTAATACCTCGTTTTTATGAGTAAGATTAGCAATTTTAGTAAAAATTAGAAGATAGTAGCAGTCTATTGATTAAATTACGCGACAAACATTTATTACTTAATTAATCGAACTTGCAAATCCACTCAATTGAATAGCAAATTCGTACCCATTTTGACTGCGTCTGTGCGATTATGTAGAAAAGTGTGATTTCAATCAAAGGTAACATTCCAGTAAATTAATTTTAAAACGGTAAATTTTTAGAAACCTGATTTGTCATTAATTTGATTCCTGCTTGCTTATAAGTGAGGGAAGGAACATTTGGGATATCAACCAATTTACGAAAATTGTACAACTCATTAATTCGTCTTCATTTTGTGTGGGCAACTTCATTAGTGTACGTTTTAATAATTATATTAAATTAATGAGATGTTAGAAAGCGTGAAAACTTTGCAGTAAAAGTAATTTGGATTATTAGCCAAAAGCCCATCTGGAGTTGCCCATTGACTTGATATCTGCATTTTAATGATAGTTTGCTGAAATAAGGAAGCCTTAATATATATAACTGTTATTCATTAACCACAAATTGCCTCTTTGCTTGCTTGCCACCAAACAATAGCATTCTATAGAAAATGGTGTAAAATCATAATTAATGTTTTGACGACTACTAAAGTTCCTTAAGAAAAGTAGTTACGTAACTGAATTTTTTGTTGAAACCAATTTTTTATACAAAATAAATATGAATTTTCCCAACTGCATTTGTTTTTTCTTGCAAATAAAAAAGATCCCCAACCCACATATTTATAATGATATAAAATTGAGAACAGTTGTAAAAGTGAATGTAGTTAATCTCGATATACCCGAAATTATATATGTACATATGTATATTTGGACTAAAGCGTTGCATTCTGTATTGGTTTTTAGTTTATTGGTCTAAGTTTTTAAAATTATTGAAACACTTTTCAACAAGTCTAAAACTAAACGTATGGCAAATAGGTTTAGTGAAAACCTAGATGGAAGAACTCCTGCTTTTATTGTTATTGGTGAGCTTAAAAAACCGGAGCATTTTAATCTAGGTCTTCACTAAATCGATTTCTTATACGTTTAGTTTCAGATTTGTTGAAATGTGTATAAAACAGTGAAAAATACGATTTACATGTAATAATTTTCACGGGCAAATTGTTGACTTACAAGTAATGTTTTTTAAAATGAAGCTAGTTTACCTATTTATATTTTAGTATAACTATGCCGAAAAAAATCGATACATCAATCATACATATCAATAAATCCCTGTTAAGGTTAAATTTAAAAACACTAGAACATTATCCTAGTTCTACTTATTCAAGATGCAAACTGGTCACATCTTATTAAAGTCTTGACTTTGAGGTCACTTCTAAGAGTGAGGCATTGAATGCATCTAGTTATGCGACCTTCAAGGTTCTAATTATTTTTGTAGGCATGTGTCTGCGTGTAGAAGAAGAAAAATGTTGGCAACCATGTGTAGTAAACGATCAATTAATTGAAACTATTTCGGTTAAACACAAGTTAAATATTAAAATACTAAACAAATTAATTTCATGGCAATAAAAACAACAGCTAAAATAACGCTAATAATAGAATATTGTGGTGTTGTACTGGCTACATTTTCGTTTCAAATATCACTGATTATTGATTGAGATTTTATTGCAACATAACATGTTTACATTTAAAGCTACAGACAGATTATTAATAGTAAATGTTCTGCATTTCATTACTATTTCAGGTATTTTAGAAGCCCGGATCTGTTGAATTAATAAGTAACATATCTCACATTCAATGGTGCGGATAATACAGAACATAAATGGACAAACGATTATTAATTTCTACTGTTTATCGGTTTTCTAGTTTTATCGATGCACATATGTGCACAACAGATGAATGAAGAACAGTATATAACATATTGCAACGGACTTTTTCTAAACTGGACAAGTTTTTGAGAACAATCAATCGTCATAGTTTATCTTATTTAAATTAATGGAATTTATAAAATTACAAACTAAATTCAAAGTCATTGCTACTTTCAGTTGCTACCTTGTCTGATGTACTATTTACACTATCACGATCCGTTCATATTTTATTGTCATTGTAAATGCCGATTTCTAATAACAATCTAAGAATGCACTTTTTTAATAATAAGTGACGATAAATCATGTTCCATTTGGATTTGAACAATGCGTGGAAATATCCTTTCACGCTTATATAGGTTTAGCTAATTGGATTGGGTTACTTTGGCCAAGCATTTAACTAAATAATGCTAATAAGCATCATATTAATTACTGATTTAAAACATACTATCGCTGGGGTTTGTAAGCAGCTATCGATGGCATACTTACATGGGCTTTTTGAGTTCAATTGGTAGATTAATAAAAACAAAACAATGAATAAAATGGTTCCATATTTTGGTTGATCAGATAATTTTCACGTGGGCTTAATATTTGAGTTTTTAGTTAATTAATCCACCCATGTCATCGAATTATGTGAATTATTTCCAACCATTTGCTATCTTGAAATTAATAAATACATCGCGAAGATATGGGCCAATTGCGTAATAATAATGTGCAATAACGTGCCGTTCTAAATTCGTTACCATTTGCAGTTTGCATCAAAACATGTGAACACCATTTAAAATACGCAC